AGATTTTAGTGTAACATTTAGATTATAGTGTGGTATTTAGATTATAGTGTGATATCTAGATTATAATGTGGTATTAAAACTATAGCATGGTATTTAGATTATAGCGTGGTACTATAACCTAGTCTAAGTGGGATACCACACTTTAACATAATTATGTTAAAGTGTGGTATCCCACTACACCAATTCCTTCCATAATTGTTGTTAATTCTAATAGTGAATTAGGTACAATTAAAATCATAATCGCATCATTAGGAGGATTATTAGGTTGAGTTATTTTTATTGCATGTGGATTTTTAATTTATAAATGGAATGAAAAAAGGAAAGCATTGCCCCCTAGTAACATTAATGAGGAACATACTTTACCTAGAAATATCGTAGAACATGATAAAAGTAGTTATATTCCTACTTATTAATACTACTAAGTTTTTGTTTAATAATAATTAAATTGATATTTAATAATAATTTTCTTTGTTATTTTTTCCAAAGATAATTTCTCAAATAATATTTAGCTAACAGATCTCGTTAATTTTAAGAAAAAGTTTCTTAATATTAATATTATTAAATTATTACACTAATTTTAACTTAGAAGTTAATTTAGCATTAAGTAACTGTTTATTTACATGTTACAGGTAAAGCCCTTATATTTCAACATTACGTTGCATCCTTATAAATAAGAACCTTGATGACCATTTATAAATACCGTTTAAATCCATTTACAATTTTACAATTAAATAAATCCAGTTCCAATTGTTGTGGAGCTGTCTTTCAACTGTGGTCAAATTTCAGTATTCCTCTTGTCAACATCATTGAAGAGATACTTAGCGGTCTATTGAAAACCACTATTTAAATTATTATGACTAAATTAACTGAGCTTATGGAATAAGTGAATATATAATTAAAATAATAATCTGTTTGTTCTTACTGTATAAGATTCATGTCAATGTGATAGAATAAGCGCTTACAATGTTTTCTTAACTTGACATCCATTATTCATATGATGAGATAAATTGTTAATCAGAACAACTTGGCATAGTATTCTCGTAAAAGACTATCAAATAATTAAATGTTAAATTTATTCTATTTTATATTTTGAATAAAAGAGAGAAGAAATAAACATAATAAAATCAGTATATAATCTTTTTGCGTTTTCTATAAACTCTTAAAAAATATATTTAATCTAATTAATGTATAGATTCATTTATATTATAAAATTGCTATTCAATCAATATTGACATATACTACTGAATATTATTTTTCGTAAAATGATATTATAATCAGAATTATGTACTGTACCTTCAGTGAAGGCCATTAAAAATATCCAACGGATTCCTAAAATTTTTCACAAATTATTTTAATGGCTAAACGAAACTGTTAACGGTTTGGTTTCAGGAAAAACTAATAATTCTAAAAAAATTTATTTATTTATACACCTATCCTATATAATAATTACTCTTACAGATTAGTCTATTTATTGAACTTGATTGAATTCTATCATATTATATCTAAAATATTTTGATATTAAATATAATAAGTTAAGAAAGTTAAATAAATAAATTATATAAAGTTCATAACTTTTCTTTTTATACATATTAGATTTAATAATTATAACGCAATAACTTTTTAAAGTAACATATTCATAATAAAGAGACTATGAATATACAATGGTAAAATTACAAATCAATAACTTGAAGAAATGGAAAAGAGAACAAATCATATAAAATTACCATCTGATTTTGAAAGAATTCCAAATAAAATCGCTACTGGTAAAGGTTTTTCAAAGTTTAAGCAGATCAATAGAAAAGCTTTATTCTTATATATGCTACGTCATTAATTTGAAATATTCTTGGAGATTTTGATCGAGAAATATTAGATAATTTTATTAGAGCTTACTCCTTGCTAATCTCGTATATTATTGATAATAATGCATTAGAAGAGGCACATTTCTAATTGTTGAAAGTTGTTCTTTTAATCAAAAAATATTACAAGTCAGAATTTATCATACAAATATTCACTTATCGCTTCATATTACTAACTGGTGTCTCAATTATGATCCATTTTACTCATTCTGGTATTATTCATTTAAACGAATGAATGGAGTATTGGGTAAGTAATTTTAACGATTATTTTCAAATAATAAAAATTTTATTTAATTTATTTATATTACTAATAGGATCCTTACCTAATAGTAAACGTAATATTGAGCTGGAATTATTACATATTATAATACAAAATTAGAGATTAAATAATTTGATTTCTCAACAAATAGAAAATTAAAACTAAAAAAAGGATTGGATTTGATTCGATCTCAACTGACTGTTAGAAGTTTAGCAGCATATGACAGATTTGAATTTGATAAATTGTCTTAATTTTTAAATATTTGTCATCTTAATATTAATGATACTATAACTGGTAGCAAACCATTTTCTGGAGTAATGCTTGCCCTAAAAAAATTTGAAGTAGACTTACAAAATGATATTTATAAGCTACTTATAGAATATTATAACAATGCATACAAAATGATATTTGTATTAGTTGCTGATTTAATTAAAAGTAAAGTATTTAAAAATGAATTATCATATTGACCAATTGTTGTTATATCTAATGTAAATTAATTTGGTTATATTCGAATCAGTACAGAAGTATTTAGATCAACTTTAGTATCCTAGTTTGTAAAGAATTTACAAATTCTTGTAAAATTCATTCAGAGTAATAGTATTATAGAAACATTTTCTGATCAAATTCAATTTTACTTTAAGCACAAAATTGATTTTTTGGATGGGATCAAAACTTATTATCTAGCTTTCATTAGATAGTTTTACCAATAGATAATCAGTAAATTAGATTATTATCAAATTAAAAATAATAATGATCGTAGCTGTAATATTAAAACTCTAGAAAAAAGAATTTTACAAAATTAGCAAGGATAATATAAATCCTATTCACAAAATATATTACTGATTTGTTAGCAATAATTTTGTAATAGGAGTAAAGAAACCTATCAAATACATGGTGGTCATTTTATTAATAAATATTTTCATTTGTAAAGTTATGTGTTTATAACAGCAAAAATAATAAATATATAACAATCCATTAATAATTTTATATCAATCAGATAAATAACTAACTGATTTCTGATTTATAATATATGCTTATTAATAACTAATCAATTTGAATAATTAAACAATTATGAATCAGCATATTTGTTGAATGATCAGTATTCTACCTATGTATTAATAAAATATTTAATAAATTTAATAAATAAAAAATATTGATTTTATATGCTTATTTGATTAAATTAATACCAAATTGAGGCTAATTTTAGGCTGATTTATAGTTGTTTAAGTTCTGAATTAATGTTGAATTGATATAAATTAAGATCAATTTTAGGCTAATTAAAGTTATTTAAATTTTGAATTGATGCTGAATTGATATTAAATTGAGATCAATTTTAGGCTGATTTATAATTGAATTTAAATTCTAAATTGATGTTAAATAGCTATATCTGATTAAAATCGATTAGCATCAATCAGCATGTATTTATGCTAATCAGAAAATATGATAAATTAGCTATAAATAGTATCAAAATCAGCCTAAAATTAGCTATCAGATTTTTAACTTATTTGAACTATTTCGATCAATGTTACTTTTGTTTAAGTTGTAAATTAATTCTCTTATAAGTTATACAACTTGTAAATTTTATGAGTTTTAAGTTAATAATAATAAAGAAATTAATTTAAAATTATATAAATTACTTTTTCTTCAAAGTTATCTTTCATCTAAAATTTGTTATGATATTAACTTACTTTTGAGTTTATCATTTGAGTTTGACTAAATAAATCTTAAATTCTAAAACATTATAAATTGCTAAATTAATTCAAATATAATGAATATTTATAAATATTAAAAAATATTCTAAGGTTATAAACTCTAACAAGTAGAATTAATTGTTACAACCTTTTAATTTAGATATAAATAAATCTAGTAATTATGTGACTAAAATCACTTAAAAAATTACTTAATAAATATATTTCTAATTCTTTTAATAAAAATTACTATAAAAGTAAGTATATTAGATATATTTTAGATGTATTACTTGAATCTCAAATATTAATTTTAAAACTAACATAAATAAGATGGAATATTTTAATCAATATGCTATGTAATATAGTATTAATCCTAAGAAATTCAATAATTTTAAAATTAAGAAAAAAAGAAGGATTAGTAAATGCTTATATATTGCTTTAGAAAACTTTATTATAAAGCAAAGAGAAAAAAGATCTTAGAAAATATTACATATTTCTAATAAATTATAATAGACTAATTATTAAAGAATTATTATATTGTAATATTTAAAAAATTGTTTAAGCACTATATAGCTTAATAAATTTCTGAAAAAAGTAAGAATAATTTTCATTTACCATTATCATTATCATATTTTCATAGCATAATATTAGAGCTAAAGTATTTTAGCATTATTGTATAGTAATTAAGTTTATTTTTTCTATATATAAAAGGTATTGTATATTACAAGATAATATTATTTATAAAAAAATATAATGATATAGTTACTATTTTCAGACTAAGTTTTTTAAACTTTATATTAATTCAATGTATGCAAATAAAAAACATACTAATTAATTTTCATGAATAATTATTTAATATTATATATTAATTATAAGTGAAATAAAAGGAATTAAGAAAATAATAAAATGATACTATTAAGAAATTTATAAGTTGTATGATGACGAATTATACTACATAAAAGAGATTTTTCAATAAAAAAATGATTCTTTGAACATCATTAAACCTCTGCCAGTGAATAAGTACAGTTTAAAGAATTCTTAATTTATTATAATAATTTATCATTTAAAGCCAAAGTTTGAGAGATTAAAAATAATAAAGATGAGAAAAGTGAATTTATGATTATATATAATTTTTCAGACAATGGAATAACAGTATTTTAAATCTTAGTGGTAATTATTTATATATTTTAGCAAAAGCAAGCCAAAAGCAAATTGCGTTAGATTATCATATAACTTCTTAAAAAATGATGTTTGAATCACTTGCTTATCAATTGAAATATCAATTTAAAAAAAATTCACTTATAAAATCATGGTCTAAATTTCAACATACTGCAATTCTAAATAAAATTAGCAATCTCCCACTAACAATTCTTTTGCAGAATTAGTAGGTTTTGTTTTAATACTGCGTTAAACTTCAAGAATTCATCATGAAAACATTTTTTCTTTATCCATATGTAAAAAATCTTTATATTCATTACTATTAGCTTCTAAATTTTTAATATTTCTATGTAACAAAGATGGTACAGGCCCAGGTTCCAACCAACTTCTTAAATTATTATTTTCTTTTTATAAAAATAACTAGGGTGTAATCTACCATCGCCTTTACTAGATTATTGTGTTATAATAATATAAACGATAATAATGTGAAAATAAAATATTTGTTTATTATGGCTCGAACTGAAAAGTTAAAAAAAATAAAACAAAAATATTACATATAGCGCTTCTAAAGTTAAAGAAGATCATAAATAATTGCTGCAATATATAGTATCTAACGTGCTAAAAAAAATAATTTCATGAAAATAAGAAAAATTTTACCTGACAAATTAAAGTGATCCAACCCAAAATAAATTATCTATAAAAAAATATATATGAGTTTAATGAAAAATAAAATCAAGCTAAAAAAATTTGAAAAAATAAAAAGTAATATAATAAATAATCTAACCTTGCCTAAAAAAATTGAATAAATGAAAAAGTTAATAATAATAATAATAATATGAAAAATTCCTACAGCCTCTCTTTCACAAATCTAAAAAAATAAAAACTTAGATAAATGAAGAAAATAAAAAATGAAAAAAAAAACTCTCCATTGAAGGTAAAAAATAACCAATCAACCCAAAAAGAACAAATTACCTAATACTTGCAGAAGTGTTTCTACCTAGAAGGCACCTAAAAAATAAAAAAAAAAAATAGAATTTTGTGAACAAATTTTCTTAGTTTAATTAGTCCTGGATAATTAATGTCAAAATGTTCATAAAATTATTTGCTAAATAAGTGTTGATATTACATCAAAAGATATTTACATCTAAAATAATTTCATCTTAGTAAACCCATTCATTACATCAATACATCAATAGAAAGCATTTATCTATTTTGAATTAATTAGGACTTTCATAACTGTAAATATATTTTTTTCATATTCTAATATTTGTATGTTATTGTTCAGGCAAGTCACATCAGAATGTTATTATTATTCGAATCACTTGATTATCATGTGATCAAATTAAACTTCTTAAAAGTCATATGTTTCTTTGATTTCTTAGTTCATCTTCTTTTTCACATTTTTTTCAAAAAATTTTACGAAAAAGTTGGAAGCCATTATTTATATAGTTTTTTTTTCCTAAAATAGGATTCTAACCTCCTAATAATGTCAAATGAGAGTAAAAAGTGAAATAATTTGAAAATTCAACGCTATTGAACTTATTAATCTATAAAAAAATACATTTATAGAAATGTTTTATTTAATAATTCATAAATACATTTTAACAATAATAATGTTTATTTTTAATATTACATTTGATGTTATACGCGCTTTTTACTCTTATTTGGCATTATTTATATAGTTTTTTTTTCTAAAATAAGATTCTAACCTCCTAAATAATGCTAAATGAGAGTAAAAAGTGCGTATAATATCAAATGTAATATTAAAAATAAATATTATTATTGTTAAAATGTATTTATAAATTATTAAATAAAACATTTCTATAAATGTATTTTTTTATAGATTAATGAGTCCAATAGTGTTGAATTTTCAAATCATTTGGATAAGTAAAAAGTACAACTAGTATTACAAAAAATTGAATCAATGGATTAGAAAAATTTTAGAAAGGAAAAGTTTTGTAAAAGAGAAAATTAAACAAATAAATTCAATATAAGAACTTGATAATCAACTTGCAACTTATATTACAGAAATAAAACAAAAAAGGATAACTATATTTTACAAGTTCTATTCACCATACAATTGCTATTATACATTAAAATATTATCAAACATTCTATATATCTAAAGTAAACATTTATGATCAAGCAATATATTTAACACTTTGAAAAGTATTTAATAGAAATTTGAAGTTTCTTTCTGATTTAAAACTTAATGAGGCAAAGGTACTGATACACTGTCTATAAATGAAATTTTAATAATTCTTAATTATAAAATATTATATGATGGAAAATTTAGCTAAAAAAATAACTAAAAGTAACAAAAATCAAAAATGTAATAATACAATTTGTTTTACTTTATTATATTATTATATTTTAAGTTATTTTAACATTATTTTTCTTTTTATATTAGCATTTTAAAAAATAACAACTAATTCTAGTAATAGTACATTTTAACGAATATTGTAAGATATACTTTAAATAATAATATTTGTAATTTATTAGTAGTTATACTGTCATACTAATTCTTTTTTTAGTATATAAAAATTCAAAAAAGTCAAAGAAGTTGAAATTTCTGATAATACTACAAAAAATTCAATTCAACTTATGATTACTCAAAATCAATTTGCAAAAAAGTAGCATATTAACAAATTCTGAATTAAATATTATATTAGTATAATTTATATTATTAAAATACAATTTATTATTTTTTAAACTATAAAGGTTTATAAGCAAATTTACTTGCTTATTTATTATAAATTTTCTTTTAATATATATTATGAAAAATTAAAATTTTTAAAAATTTTTTTTTTAAATTAATTTTATAATATATGGACTCTTTGCAATAGTAAGGGAGGAAACTACCAAAAAAATTTTTTTTTGCTTTATAAGCTAAATATTATTTTTTTAATAAAATAAGTCCAGATTTAACATTAATTCAAAAAAAATTTTTTTGGTAGTTTTCTCTCTTTCTATTGCAAAGAGCCCATATATTTTTAATTATATTATAAATAATTTAATATTACTTATAAACTAAAAATTTGTAATTTATATAAAAATTATAAATTAAAAATTTTATAATTAACTATCTTATTAACATTTACTTTTAACAATATTATCATAATAAAATATTATAAAATTTATCATAAAGAATAACTTTAATTATTATAATTTTTATAATTTACTAAGAAATATTATGATTTTTATTAATAAAAAATAATTCAATTAGTTTATAAATATATGAATGTTAAAAAAATTTTAAAAAATTATTATAATAAATTTTTCAAAACTTAATTTTAAAAATTGAATATTTAAAAAACTTATTAAAATTTCTTCTAATAAAGTTAATTAAATATATATTTATTATATATTAATTATATTATTAATATTAATATTATTCTTTATTAAAAAATTAATTACTTTTTTTTTTATGTTTACAAGCAAATTTACTAGCTTTACAATTTAAAGGATTAGCATGTATTTTAACTTATATTTAATATTATTAGCATTAGAAATGGATGTCACTTCAAGTATAGAAAATATCACATAAAAACTATCAGATGATAATATGCAGTAATGATTAACAATTACTATAGTAGATAAATCAGAAAAATATTAAGATCTATATGATTTACCTGATTGACTAAATTCACCTGATTCTTCTGATATCATGAATTTTATCAATACTCATAATAAAGTATAACTTTTCATTTTAAAATATCTTTGTTATATTTATTTATTTTCTTATTATATATAATTTATATTATGTTTTATATCTTTATTTTATTATTTTTTATTATTATATTATAGCTAAAATTTACTAAAATAGTTAATTTATAGCATAGCAAGTAGTTAGCTATAGCAAATTAATTTTGTATAAATAGAATAATTTTTGCTTAAGTTATAAATTAACTTATTTATAAGTTTAAATCTTTTTTATGAGTTTCAGTATTATAAATAAAGGAATCAATTTAAATCTATATAAATTTGCTTTTCCCTTTAATATTATCCTTCATCTAAGATTTGTTATGATATTCTATATTAAATTACTATTGAGTTCATCATAATGAATTTAACTAATATATCTTTAATTCTAAGATGTAATAAATTGCCAAGTTAATTTAAGTATAATAAATATCTGCACTAGTCAAAATACTCCAATTCGGATAGCTTTCATATAGCCATTTTTGGCCTGAATTATAACTAAAAGCTGATATAATTCTGTTACTGAAAGGTTTTCAATTGGTACAGTTCGACTGCTACTTGCATAAATTTCGATCTAGCATTCATATAGCTTTCAAACAACATTTGGATAGTATTTTTATATCAAATTATTAGGCATTTTATATCGAATTTCTGAGTATTTCATGTTGAATTGCTGTGTATTTTTATATTGAATTGCTGAGTATTTTATATTAAATCATTGTGCATTTTATATTGAATTGCTAACTTTTGATTATCTGATATCTCATATTTAATCGCAAATAATGCAAATCGTTAAATTTATTATTACAAATTAATATAACTACTAGCTATACATTCATGTTAACAAGATTATAAATTTCTTCTACAAATTACTACTATTACTATCTCTCGCTCTGTTTATACCAACTTTTTAACTAATTTCATGTTGAATCAATTACTACATTTATAAGTTGAATCAATTACCTAAAAAATATTAAATTACGCTATGCTTTTAATATACTTATTACCTTTAGTAGTATCCCTACCTGAACCTGCGTCTCAGACTATTCTAGCAGTTGAGAATTCTGCTTCATCTGAACTATGCATATCTTGATATTTGGGACTTCCTTCTATATCTGAATCAGCTTTATTGATAGTTAAGCAGTTTGTAACGTTAAGGAATGCAAATCCAATATATTTCATAAAAGGTTTTTCAACTAAAAATAAAATAAGCTAATATGGTAAATCTATATATATATTATAAACGATAAGGACAAATAAATATGAAACCTCGTTGAAACATCACAAGCGATCATATATACATATAAGATGCTTGCTTGATAGGTTTTCATCATCAGTTTTACTAATTTCAGGAGAATAATACCTATTATCCCATAATATACTAATTAATTCATCTTGATAATATTCCATAATCTCTGAATTTTTCGTCGTATAAAGTGATTTTGCATCTTTTATCTGAAAAATTTTTTCTAATTATAAATTGTATATATATATATAAAAGTTATTAGTATAAGTATTAAAAAACCAACCAAAATTCATATTTTATTTAGTCACCCATTTGCATATAATTGATGGTCGTCATCATCAATCTGACACTTTTTTTGTAATTGATTCAGCTTCTTCTGGACCTATAAAGTTACTTGAGCCACTTGGTGATCTGATCATATGAAGGATTGTAATTCGGTTTCAAAGCTTTGATAAGTTCTAGAATCAGTTTCTGTCTTATTTTCAAGTTCTTTTAGCTCATTATAGTTCAGTAGATATTGTCTTTAAAATGATTTTCATTTTCACCTAAATTGCTCGTAAGAATAAAAATTTGATAAATGATGATACAAAAGTCGTTTATATAAATCATACAATCCTAACGCTTTTTTCATCTGCTTTAATAATTCGTGCATTATCTTATGTGTAACCTAAACTTTATAACTACTATCATAATAATATAACTTGATTGATCGTTTACTTTTTTTTGTTATTTTTTGATGCTTATGTGATCGATCTTCATCTTATCACATATTTCTTGGCTGACGAAGTGACTTATATCAGTCTAATTTCTTATTGAGTTGATTATTCTCTAAACTGAATATCTCATTAACATTCATAAGAATTCTATTTGTTTCCTCTAAGTCTTCTATCTTCTTTTGTAATTCTTTATTTTACGCTTTTAATTTCACATTTTCTGATATTATATCTGGTATAGCTACAAATTATTAATGAATAATGAAAATTGAAAACTTAATTAATATATTTGACAAAGTTATAAAAAAAACTAAAATTAAATCAAGTGATAATTAAACGAATCAATATTAAAAATAACTGTTATCATTTTCTGACTCATTATCAATACTAGGGTTGACTTCAGGAAATGACTTTGGCAGACAGATGTTTAGGAGTTTTACTCACATGCTTGTGATTCTTTAAGCTGTAATTCAACTTTGTTGACTCTCATTTCTTTCTTTCCTTTCTTTTCTCCTTTCTATTTCTTCTTTTTCTTTCCTCTCTTTCCTTTCTTCTTTCTCTTCTCTTATTTCCTTTTTTTCTCTTTCTTCTCTCTTATTCCTCTCTTCTCTTCCTTTTAAAACGAAATCAGAAATTAAAAGACAAAAGCAGTCTTAGTCTAACTAGATCTTACTTTACGATTCATATCTAGCAAAAATAATCAAATATTAATACATAAATACACGTAAACTGGACTATTTTATTGTAAGCAAAGAATAATATTATAATTTGATTAATAATTCGATTAACTTTCTCTATGGCTTTTTTTTACTGATATTTTCAAAAAAAAGTTTATTATTAATCAAACTGGAACCATAATACCATTATATAAAAGATTTTCTGTGTATCTACAAAAAATGTCACATGTGATACAATTGACAAAATCAGTCACGTAAATTTTATGATATTATTTTCGTGGTTGCGTCACAAAGATCACTATGAAAAATAAAATAACTATTACATAATCATATTCCTACGTTGCATGCTAGCAATATTATTAAAACTTTATAGTGAGATTTTATTTTTTTATTTTCTATAATATGCGTACTATTATATTAAACTTTACAGTAAATAAACTTGTGATTTCATTTTTATTTTATATAATAACAAACTCGTATTTTAATTAAATGCAATAAATGTTCATATTTTTATTTAAAATAAGTATAAATGCTACAATTTCATTTCATTCGTAAAAGAAAAACTTTATAGTTTATGTACTAATATTAACGATTTTTCATCAAAATTTATCAAATATAATACAATCACATATATAACAAAATGGTATGAAAAAGGTTAATATCTAGTGTAATTGATGATAAAAATCCTGTGTCTACTCAATTTACTTGAAAAATGACTCAATCGATCATTCAATTAAGAAGAAAGTGGAAAGTATCCTGTTTCTGTAGTAAATGTAAAGGTGATTTAGTTGAATCTTGTACAAAGATACAACATGAATTAGAAGAACCATATAGCACAAATTCAGCAAATATTTTAGCTGATGAATCATTAATGCCTCTATCAGTAATTTATTTGCAAAATGAATTACCTGAATCTTTACAAAATCCTGAAATTCAGGAAGATGTTGATGAATCATATCGATTGAATATTTTAAATAAACAAGAAATTGATGAAGTTCAGCAAGGGCACTCATATACTGACAACATTTTACCTCAAAAATGCATATCAAAACATATAACAAATCTTTTGGCTAAGGTTTCTATTGATGATATTGAACAAGCAGATTTGACAGTAAAAGAAACTACTGATTTCATATCTGAAGATCAAAGTACCAATACTTCTCATAGTAATGAAGAAGACAATGAATCAGTAAATAATGATGACTTCAAAGACTACTCCTGTCCTTCTTTTGAACTATTCTAAGATCCAAGTGCTGCTTATCAATAACTGCTGATGATCAATTCTTATAGATTTATTATGGATTATAAAATTTGGGTAAAGTTCAATATTTCAAAAACAGCAACTGAGTCACTAATAAAATTCATAAAATTGGTATTGAACGAATTCAGTGGTAATGATTTTGAAGACTTTCCAGAATCACTTTACAAATTAAGGCAGATGCATGGTATTGAGGACTAATTTCAAAGTTTCGTATCTTGTATAAAATGTCACAAACTTTATAAAAAGAGTGAAGTAGAAAGTTATTGTTAAAATGAAACTCTTACCATTATGAAATGTCAACATATCAAATTTTCCAATTCAACAAAATACTGATTATGTCAAATACCTTTATCTAATCAAACAAGATTATTAAATGAAGTTGTAATTCGATCTGAGATGATTTATCCATTCACAGGGATTTGTCAACAATTAGCAACCTTGTATCTTCAATCTGGTTTCAAAAGTTCTCTTCGACATTAGGTCAATAGGTCAACTTTCAATAATATTCTAACTGATATATACGATGGACAAATCTGGAAAAGCTTTAAAGACACAAATGATGAGAATTTTTTCTGAAGTAAAACAACTGATTTGAACATTGGCTTAATGATAAATCTAGATTAGTTTTAGCTGTACAAGGATTTGATTCACAGCACTGATGTAATATATGCTGCTATATGCAACTTGCTATGAGACATCTGATTTAAGCGTGAAAATCTACTAATTCTTAGCTTGTTACCTGGTCTAAATAAAGTGAGTTTACATAAAATAAATCACTATTTAGCACTGATTGTTAATGAACTAGAGTCACTCTAGACTGGGGTGACTTTAATAAACATACGAAAGCCAAGAAGGGAAAAAATTCGCGCAGCATTAATACTTATTTTATGCGATGTTTCTGTGATCAGGAAAATATTTGGCCACATTTCAGCACTTGTTTCATGTCATCAGTGTAAGAAATATGCAAATTATGAGAATTGGCAATACAACTTTGCAAGAATGAACAATATGTACGAATGGTTCATTGCTCGTGATAAAAATAAACATTTTTAGAATGTTTTTGCATGATAATATTGCAAATCAAATGCTATAAGGAAGCGTTTTGTTAAAAATACAGGTGTTAGATAGTTTGAATTGCTTTGTCTGCCATATTTTGATCTAATTCAATTTTTAATCATCGATCTAATACATTGCCTATTTCTAGATATTTTAAGGTAGATAGTGAAATGTATTTGGGTCGATAAGGGCATTTTGATAACAAACATTTTAAAGATTATTCAGAAAACAATAGACAGATTTCAAGTGCCATCTGATATTAGTCGTATTCCAAATAAAATTGACTGTAGTGAAGGATTTTTGAACTTCACTGCGGATCAGTGGAGAATATTTTTTACGATGTATACTACTGTTACTTTTTAAGAGCATTTTTCGGGTCATGATCAAAAAGTTCATCATTTTGTGAGAATTTATACAATTTTAGTAAGCCGTGTTTTAGAAATTGATTCAGTTAGAGAAGCACATTGGAGATTGATTGAGATTGTAAAGTTAATTGAGAAACATTATGAAAGAGATAAAGTTATACTAAACCTTTACCTCTCACTTCACTTGAGCATATATACAAACGATTTTAGACCTTTATACGCATTCTGGTACTTCTCATTTGAGTAAGTGAATCATATACTAGGTAAACTATTTATTTTTGTTTACTGTAATGCTTTCAAAAATGGTAAATAATTATAATATTTTAAATTTTAGGTGCCTTATCGAACAGCCATAGGAAAATTGAACTAGAGCTTATACGCTGATTGATGTCTGACATTTGTATTAATAGTATTATAAGCTCTGGTGTAAATATAAGAGGTCTAGAATTACTAGAAAAGTGATCTTCAGTTGGATCTTTATCAGAAACTGATGAATTTTCTTCTGATAAAATGGAACGATTCTGGTTGAATTCACGAAATATTCAACAATCATCAATTACTGAAAGTGAGCTATTCCTAGGTGAAATGATGAGATCTATTTCTGAAGATGTAATAATGTCAAATTCAATGCTTAATTTATTAGTCGAATACTATATGGTAACCTACGAAATACTGGAGTTTTGAAGACCATTTGAAGAAGATGATGAAGATTCAATAGTAATTAGTATCAAAATAAATCAATTCGATAGATGCTGAATTGGCTCTGAGATATTTGGTTTGAATATGTCATCTTGTCACTTGAGAAGCTCATTCATTTTGATAAAATTTATAATAAAAGATATTGATACTGATTGTTTTCCCAGCCAAGTGCAATTTTTTTTGTTTACAAGGTTAATTTACCAGGTGGAGAACTAGAACATAATTTGGCATTCATTCGGTAGTATAAACATGTAATAAGTAATCGATATTATTTCAATATTGATAATGATGAAATTTGTAATGTTGAGTTGTGGGATACAGAGTTTTACCCTGAGGGACGTGATTGTATTGTTTCAGTACATAATATTCTCAATAGGTTTATACTAATAAAATATCAAATTTCAGGTCGAAAAAATGTGAAGAATTATTTAGCATAAACCCAATTAATAGAAAACTTAATATTCGTTAATATTGCATATAAAGTATATAAAGTGAAATTTGTATAATTTGTATTCTTTTTACATATAACTTTAAACTTAAAAATTCGTTAGGGTTTCGGTAAGGCAGATTAGCAATCATATGAGCCGAAATCTAATAATGATCAAAATTTTATACCGAATTCAGTTGAAACTTAATCGAAAGTTATATAATCGAAATTTTTTATTTCGACTAGTGGGTATATTAGTAAAGTGCTAGAAATATAGTGTTTTTATATTTATTATCTATTTAAAAAACTTTTTGAATATAATCTAAAATACTTTTTCAAGAATGGATTTATTTAAATGATTGAAAGAGTATATATTGATGAGGAATTTAAAACTAGAAGGTGTTTATTTTATATTTATTACGCTGTATATAATTTTTTAGTATTTATTCATGAAAACACCATCAAATATGCAAATAATTACTTAAATAAATGCATTGCTAAAATGATCAAAAGGTGTATTGCATATTCTAATTTTATATAGAAAAATGCTAAAAAAGAAAGAAAAGTATTAACACTTAACTTTGATGAAATTGATGAGATTTTTATGAATTATTCTGTATATACATAGTATGGTTATCATAAACATAATACAGATAATGTATTTAGAGAGAAATTTGTTTATTTCATATTTAACAGCATAAAAGTTATTTAACAGACTTAGAGAATTTTCAAGTTGAGATCTGAAACATAAGCAAAATGAATTTGAAATATAATGGTATTTTTAATAATAAAAATTTTTTAGATATAACTTCTCATAATATAAGAGTTCCTGATGATCAATATATGAGAAGTTTACTAGAAAAATAGGACTCTAAGACCTTTTCACCAAAATTGAAATTTTTGTTTTATATTAATCTATAATATAATAATTTTAATTGGTTAAAGTTTTAAAGTACTTTAACTTAATATTAAAATGAATAATTTTTTTTTTTTTATATAATAATCTAAAAATAAATTTGAAAATGATAAATATGATTAATATACTATTTAGAAAATGATCAACATAATTTAATATTTTATATTATATTATATAATAAAATGGTAAGTTAACTGCTACAGAAGCAGTTCTGATTATAAATTTTTCATTAAAATTATTATAAGAAAATTAGAACAGTAGACTTATTTTTGTTAGATTTAAAAAAATTGTTAGATTTATTTATAGGGATATAAAGATAGTTAGACTTATTTTTATTAAACTTAAGTGATTAATATATATTTATAATAAGCTAACTTATATAGAATTAATTTCTGATATATAATTTTTTGTTAGATTATCAAATATAACTAAAAAATTAATATAGAAATTAAGAATCTAGAATTTTTAGAAGTTTTTTTAGTATAATAAAAAAATCGATATAGAAATTAAGATTTGAAAATAGCTAAAAGTTTAAAAATAAAAAATAAAAATAAAGATTTTAGAGCTTTTAGAAGTATTTCTAATATAATAAAAAAATCAATATTGATTTTAACATTCTAGAAACTTCATACATAATGTAGGGGATTTTATTCCAAAATCCACATTTTCATATTGTATGATGTAGCTTGTAAAATTTGCTGATTCTAAAAGTAATCAATGATTTTAATTATTATATAGATGATATTATTATCACTGATTATTTAAATAGTTATTACTTAATACTATTAATATGTAATTCTTATGAATTGTGACAATTATACAAGATGTTAAGAGTTATTTCTTTTTAAATCTATATAGTAAAATATGTAATTTATATTAAATAAAGTTTAATTTAAATATAAATATTTATATACAATCACTTATTATTAAAGTATTATATAATTAATAATTTACAATAAATTATTTATTAATAAAATATAAGAAAATTTAAGAAAAAAAATATGAAATAATGAAATAAATAAGAAAAATTAAAATTAATTAACAAAAAGTAAAATGTGATTAATGAAACTAAGTATTACTTAATAGCCTAAGTATATGCAAACTATTAAAAAAAATTCTATTAAGTGAATTTGAATCTAGATCTACCTGAAAAGTTTAAATAATTTAGTCCTATATATATATTTTAAAATAGATAGAATAATATATTAATTATTTTAGTTTTTTCAACTAGATTAACAATTTAACCTATTTAATTATTTTAATTAAATTAACTAAGCTAAATATATCTAATATATTAAATATGTTAAGTATATCTGATATGTTGATCATATCAACCATATTAATTATGTAATTATTTAGGTTATATTAGTTACATTTTGATAATTCAATTACAATTAACTATCTGTCAGATTTTATTATCTTTATTTTTCTGATTGATAAATTTATCTATCATAAATTTTTATTTAATTTATAAAAAATGAAAGATCACAAAATTTTAGATTGGATTTAATTTATGATTTAAAAAAGATAATAATGATAATTTTTTTAAAAAATTACTTGTAATAGCAATAATGAATAAGTAGTTTAATTAATGTAAATAAAAATAGGTTCAAAAATTTTAAGTCTTTAATTCATTTGAATTACCAATATATAGATTAGTTGGGATTAATTATTATATAGAATATAGAGATAATAGAGAGGCTCTGTAGTATCAGTATCAGTAAAAAAAATTTAGAATCAACTTTACAGAATCCTTCTCAATCAAATTATTAGTATAACAGATATAATGTTTCATTATGTTATAACAAAAATTGCTAAACATGTTTGAAAGAATTTCATACTTTTGTTAAAAGCAAGTAAAATGTTACATATTAAACTTAAAAATTGTACTAACAAATTTGAAAACAATAATAATAAAATGTATGTAATTTTAATAACTTTATAAACTTCTCTTAAAGTATAAATAGCTAAATTTTTATTTTGTAAGAAATTTGTTGTTTTAAAAGAAAAATTTTATAATTTTTAAATTCATAAATAATTGAATTACTTTAGCTATAGATATAAATAATAATATTATAAATTTATTTTTAATTAAGACAATTTTAATTTTATTTAGTAAAGTAATTCATATCTGTAATTTCAGCCAATTTCAATTTTCAGCCTTTTTTGGAAAGGCGAAATTAATTTTAGTTTTATTAGTTTAAACTATTTGAAATTGAAACTGCAAAAAAAATTAATAAAAAGATAAAAAGAGATTACTAAAGGAATTAAAGATGTCAAGCACAGGTCTTAAAAAATAATTGAAATATGATCTGGGTTTATTCAGATTGATCAATTATAAATATCTGACCGTTATAAAACTTATTTCCGTTCGAAATTAAATATTCAAATTATTTTGGAGATATTCAAATGTATCAGACGATTCTTGAGTCAAGAATTGAAAGCGAAATCAAAAACTAAGTTCAAAAATTCAAATATCTTATTTTCAAATGGACTTAATAACAACGTACAATTAACTTTCAACCAGATTAAAACACGGGTACATAATCTAGGGTGTTTAAATAATAAAATCATTAAAATCATTAATGATTCGATTTTGAATGCTAAGATTTATTCATTGAATAGAAAATTCATGAATCCACGTAAATTTTTCAATCAAAATAAACTCTATATAGATTTTATAATATAACAATAAGACTTTTATTTAATTAATTAATCAAATGTCACGTATTTACCATAATTAAATGAATCCGATCTGTAAAATAATTTTATTATAATTAAGAAGTGAGAATAATGTATAAACGATAAAGAGGTGTAATTTGACAATCGAAAATCAAAGTAAACCTTATTTGCAACATCCAATGCTTCTACATCAGGTGTAAGACGAACATAAGCTTTCTTGGTTCCGTTTGGTCTAATGAGGAAAAAAACATCAGTTGATGTTCATTTGAATCGTAAACGTGTGAAGAGTCTGTGGGACTATACCTTATCAATGTATTAATCTTTTGAGCATCAACATCATACAGTTTCTTCACTGCTTCCTTGATTTGACGCTTATTAGCTTGGGTATCAACAATGAAAACAAGTGTATTTGTATCCTCAATTTTCTTCATTGCAGATTCGGTGTTTAAAGGGTTTTTTAGAATTTTGTAATGATCAAGACGACGTGCATGTGGAATAGATTTGCGTGGATATTTAGGTGATCGCGCTAAACGCAAAGTCCTTGGACGATGGAAGGTCGTGGAATAACGGGGCTTCTTTTTTTCCTTACTAATAACCCCTTTCGTAACAGCTTTCTTAGCTGAAAGTGCCTTGGCTTTTTCCTTAGTTTTACCCTTGGATTTATTGTCCTTAGACTTATTGTCCTTGGGCTTATCTTTGGAAGTACCTTCTTGTGCTGCGGCGGTCTTTTTAGGTTTATCGGCTATATTATAATTAATTAAACGGAATAATTTAATTCACGAAAATTCAAAAAAAAAAAAATATGTATATATATAGGATAAAAAATAAAAATCATCATCCATTCTTCCTCTAAACAGTATATCTCTTATATTCAATGATGCATTTGATTTTTTCGTTGATAGTTTAAATTAATTAAAAGACTTGCCTGGTTTTTTTGGAGCCATTTCAAAACAATTTACCGTCGGAAAAGGAAGAATTTGATTTTTATTTAATAATATAATTTATATCAAAAAATCTCTTATTGCAATGAGATTAACCAATTAAAATAATGATATCAAGAGTATTTTTGTCACACCATTCTGATCTCAATAGGATCGCGTTTTTTATCTCTAATTTCTTTATTCGTGTGGCTAATAATGACCTCTCTTCAAGGACCAAACAATTTTGCTGATGACGGTAGCGCCATTATAGAGCGCGTACTTAAAGTGAAAAGTAAAAGATTGGCGGATTCCGATAAGCAACTAGAGGAAATTTATGAAATTGACAGAACCGTGAAAGCATTAATTGACGGTGGGTTTGATAAGGTAAATTATAAAGTTTTTTCTTTTTTTTCGAAACCCATGAGCGCCTGTTACCTTTTAATAATGCTATAGCATTATTTTTATATAAAGGTTGCACTGCAGTTTCCTGATGAATTACTGGCAGATTCCGTTAAAATTGCTACAATTTTAAGAGAGAAAGTAAAGAAAAAGATTTTTATTCTGGCAGATACTTCATATGGAAGGTAAATTAACGTGGAAAATTTTAATTAATTGGCTTTAATTCTTATTATATATATAAAAAGCTGTTGTGTAGATGAAATAGCAGCTCAACATGTCGACGCAGAATGTATTATTCATTATGGCCGTTCATGTCTAAGCCCGTAAGAATCAAATTTGTTTTGTTTCCTTTTTCATACATTATACTGTGAACAATAATACAACTTTACATTTTGATAGTACTTCGCGACTTCCCGTAATATACGTGTTTGGAAAACAACCTATCGTTTTAGTTCATTGTTTAGAATCATTTGATGAATTTTTTAAACTGGACAAGAATCAACCATTACTTATTATGTATGATGTTGTTTACTCATATTGCATAAGTAAGAAAATTTTTTTAGCTATAATATTTTTTTTTTTAAAAAAAATACACTTATTTATTGTTGTTGTTGTATGTTCATAGATGATTTCGTCCTTGAATTGCGAAATGAAAAAAATTATACAAATATTATCCAGTCCTTTGTTATGTTAGAATTTAATTTTTTAAAAGGTAAGATGAAATAAAATTTCTAAAGTTGACACATTTTTAGAGGCCGCGGTGTCAATTCTTCTTGATTTGACGTGTTTTCAATGTTTTCAATGTTTTCATTAATTATTTAATAATTTTATTGTAGATACTCCAGTTTCAAACCATTTAGGAAGGCATTATTCATTACCTGAAAACATTTCAATTGAAAATTGTTCGATATTTTATATAGGTGGTGAAAGCTTAACTTTAACTAATATATTAATGACATATAACAAGTGCAAGGTAAATCTTAAAGAAATATTTATTAATAGCCAAGAAATAATAATAATTATTTTTTGAATTTTGAAGGTTTTTTCATATAATCCGGAAACACAGATAGGGAGGCAAGAGAGCATACATGTGAATAAAGCTTTAATGAGACGGTATTGTTCATTATGATATTTACATATTTTCGCAGTTTTCAGGTATGTACAATCTCTCAAAATTGATCTGTAAAAAGTATCACAGCGACTACAATTTATCAAATTTCTGCGTAATGATCTGATCAATGATTTGTAAAGTCTATTTGACTCGTAAATTGTAATCGCTGTAATCTGATTTTTTTACTGCAAGTCAATGTTTGTAAGGGACGTGCATTTCTGAAAACTGCGATAAAATAATAATAGGTTTATTAATTTCCAATTTGCATATATTTTTTAGTTATTATATGATACAAAAAGCAAAGGATGCTGATGTTATTGGAATAGTTGTGGGAACTTTGGGCGTTGGTGATTTTTACGTTATGATAGTTAATATAGATAATTTATATTCAAATTTAAATATTTAATCGATTTATTTTAAAATTAGCATCTTATTTAACAATAATATCGCATCTCAAAAAATTAATCATCCGTGCTGGCAAAAAACCATATACATTTGTCATGGGTAAACTTAACGTTGCAAAAATGGCGAATTTTATGGAAATCGAGTGTTTTGTCCTTGTGGCTTGTCCTGAAAATAGCTTGATTGATTCAAAGGTAATTTTTCTTTTTTTTTTTTTTTTATAAAAAGTAGATTTTATTTTTATATTTGTTCACATTTTATGATTTCGTTAGGAATTTTATCGTCCAATTGTGACTCCTTTTGAGTTAGAGATAGCTTTGGATCCGTAAGTTTTAAATAAGTAATGTATCATTCACTTCACTAGGATTTCTTTTTATATTTATATATATATTATAGATCAAAGCAATGGACGGGAGAATATATCACGGATTTTCAACTCTTGTTATCTAGAATTGGTAAGTTAGAGAATCGTCGTCAATTTATAAGTACATTTTTAACACGATTTTATTTATGCTAGGTTCAAACACCGAAGAACTCGAAAAGGTGCTTAATAATTTATTTTGGGCAAATATGAGAGGAAGAAATAATTATAATACAAAAAAAAAATAATATTGTTTAATAACAGTCCGTATTAGATGATGATGATGAACCACATTTCTCTTTAATTACTGGAAAATACAAACAAGGTCGAAAATATGCCGTTAAAAACACATCTGGTATTCTTCATTTTGTATTGTTTCATTTTTTCATTTTGCGATACGACATATGCTAATGATGGATGTCACGTGATAACATGTCACAGTTGAAAACGTTACAGACAGTATCAAAGATTTAACATTACGCAATCAAAATACATCGGTATCAACTTTACTGAACAGTGCAGCAGGTGAGAATTAATCAATTGATGAATGATTCGGGTGTATTTTATTAAACCTTTTTGAAATTATAGGAGATTATCTTAAATCAAGGACATTTCGAGGACTAGAACAACAAATCGGAGAAACAGAAATACGATTAGCCGAGGAGGGTCGATCTGGCATTGCTAAAGGTTATGCGAATGAAGAAACTTAAAGAAATAATTTAGAGATATTTTTGAGAATTCCTTGAATATCATTTGATGTTGAATCATAAATTGCCATAATTGTCATTTGTCCTACATTATATAAGAAATTATTGAATTGGAACTTGGAAAAAAATTTTGTAATACCAAAGGTTCAGATGTTGTAATAATAAAGGTATTTAAAATTTATATGTCAACTTTCAAAATCAGATAATCCGATAGATGTTTGTATAACTTCGCATGACACATGCATCAAAATTTTAAAAAGGACTATCCTAATTTGGCAAATAAATATGATTGGTTCAGTATGGCACATGCATGAGTGATACAAAGATATCAAAGGTAACATACACCCTAAGCTACACAATAATACTCCACAAAGTAACCCCAACAATGTTCTTTTTTGAATCCCTTCATTCAAAAAATGAGAGATAGCTAAAATGTATTATTTTAGAAAAGTATAATTCCATGAAACCAATCAAATTTATGGGGAAATTAGCACAAGACACCTCTGCCCCTTTTTAACGTCTATCTCGAAACCCTACTTTTTTTTTAATACAAATTGTTGGACGAACATTAATATGGTAAATGATATCACAATGTTCAAATTGGGGTTGAGGCTTCCCGTCGTGTCCCCATCTGTGTTCAAAAATTCACTGCGGAGATTTGGGAATGCCACACTAAATTAGTATACCATTAATTATTACTTATGCCGCAACGGGATGCCGCCAATATTATTTTACATTTAGAAACTCTAGGTCAAAATCTTGCATCACTCATAACAAGGTTGCACTACAGTACTACTCAAGAGTCTAATAGCAAGGCGATAAATTTTTTTTTTTTTTCTCGTATCTTGTCAAACGGTAATATATTCGTCGTTGCTTCGGCCTCAAAGTATTTTCCCTTTCACCATCGCCGCATCTGCTAGTCTTGCCTAAAACCTATTCTTACCAAAAATAAAGTGAACTCCTTTGCTCCTACTTACCAACACACAACCTAATAAAGATGTCTACTGCTAACGTAAGTTTTTTGAATGTTTAACTGTACTGCGCGTTATTTTGAATTCGGTAAAAAAAGAAGTTCGAAAGTGATCGCTTTTTGGATATTAGATTATTATTTAGTTAGACCTTTTTAGTATTTAGATATGTTAACCTTAGTTCTTTAGTTGGTTTCTTATTTGTTGTATTGTTGTATATATTTGTTGTATTATCTAAACACGAACTTTATTTTATTTTTATTTTTTCCTTTTAGGAACGCGAAAACCAGGTATTTGACCGCGTAAAGCTATAATATTATAAATTATTTTACTTTTGTTTTATTATCTTGTCTGAGAAAGTGTGACAAAAAATTATTCCGTTTTTTTTCACTTGATGTTGACCTCTAATAAAAAGGTTTATATGGCCAAGCTCGCCGAGCAAGCCGAACGTTATGATGGTAATAAAAATTTATTGTGAATTTGAATGCGTTTCTTCTTTTTTGTTCTATTTATGGCTAAAGTTATGATATCTCTAATCGAATCTGATTGATCAGAAATGGTATCTTACATGAAGGTATTTGTCCCAATCAATTCATGATCCTATCCTTTTCTTTTTCTTTTTTTTTTTTAAAAAAAAAAATTGATTAATATTTAAATATTATTAAATTATTATTATTAAATTGTAGGATGTTGCCAAGGTATATATACATTAAATTTCTGTAATGCGTTATAATGATCAATCCAACTTATTCTTTACATTGAATTGATTCATAAAATCATCTGCATCGAACTTTGTTGACGATATATAATCATTAGCTCGGAGTAGAGCTCACTGTGGAGGAACGTAATCTTCTCTCGGTCGCATATAAGAATGTGATTGGTGCCCGCCGAGCGTCTTGGAGAATTATTTCATCTATCGAACAAAAGGAAGAAAACAAAGGTAACGAAACTCAAGTTCAGAAGATCAAAGCTTACCGTCAGAAAGTCGAAACCGAGCTCTCAGAAGTCTGTTCGGATATCCTTGCCGTATTGGATGAACATTTGATTCCATCTGCCGAAGCTGGTGAATCCAAGGTTTTCTATTATAAAATGTATGTTAATTTACAATAACTCCTCCTCAATAAGAATGGTACAAGTTATGTGGGGAGGAGAAAGGAATGTTTGTTGTCAATCTATGGTATACGGCTTCCCGTGACGAAATTAGGTTGAATCTCGAGCAATTTAGCTTTACCATTTTGGATGCTCTGATAAATTTTTTTTTTTTTTTTTTTTTTTGTTCACTTAATCTTATATTACAGGAAGGGTGATTATCACCGATACCTTGCCGAATTTGCCTCGGGTGAAAGACGAAAAGAAGCTGCCACTCAGGCTCATGAAGCCTATAAACACGCAACTGACATCGCCCAGACCGACCTTGCTCCAACTCATCCTATTCGTCTCGGACTTGCATTAAACTTTTCAGTATTCTACTACGAAATTCTCAATTCACCTGATCGCGCTTGTCATCTTGCCAAGCAAGCATTTGATGATGCCATTGCTGAACTCGATACTCTAAGTGAAGAATCTTATAAAGATAGTACATTGATCATGCAATTACTCAGAGACAACTTGACCCTCTGGACTTCAGACTTGCAAGATGGTGAGTAAATTTAGGTTTAAGTTAGAAAATAAAAAAATAAAAATTTTGTACGAACTCATTCTTTTGCTTTTTTCTTAACTTTATAAAAATTTATAGCAGAGGGTGAGAAACAAGATGAACCTAGTAGTAATAAACAAGATGTCGAAGCTGAAGAATCAAAGTAGCAATAATTAGTTAATTATATATATTTTTTCACACTTCATATATAAAATCAGTTTTCCCTCATATTTACATAAGCGTGATCAAAGTTTTTTTTTTTATTTTTTTTTTTCTTCGTTGGTTTATTGCAAGTTCATTTTCCTCTGTGTTTGGTTCTTTTTTAATTTGGGAATTCCTTTCGGTCGTTTTGTTTGTTCACAGGTGTGGTGTGTTGGTATATAACTTAAAGGAGTCCCTTTTATTGGTGAAAATTTCATCTCTTCCTTAACATTTCCCATTTTTATTATATAATACAATACTACCTTTATATTAAATACAAGAAAAAAAAAAAACAAAAAAAAAAAAAACACACGGAATCCATTGTTAATATAACGAAAACTTTATTTATCGATTAAAATGTTCTTTTAATGTAAATTGAAGTGTGTGAAATTTTGATTAATGATTTATTTGTCGTCACACTTTTTGTCACGTAAACTATATTTTTAAATCAAAAGGTTAGAAAACAACTTTGGGAATAAAAAATTGCTCGTATTAATAATTATAATAAAAACAATAATTTTTTAATTTTACCCAAAAATTTAATAATGCCAGTCATCAAATTACACGTCTCATTTTAAAATTGTGTGACGTACTCGAGGCTTATTCAAAAAATACCCGTTTTACAATAAAATAAATATAGTCATTTTTTATTTTTTGAACGTAAAAAAAAAGGTTTTCGATCATTCGGCGCGGTAATCTTTCTACAGTTTAACTTTTTTTGTTTCTTTTTATAATGGTACGTGTTCAACTTACATTTACGCGTCAGAATCTATAATTTTATAATGACCTTTTATTTCATTAAAGGGATCACGAGCTAATTTATTATCAGGTGCTGCTCCATTTGCTGGTACAGGATCTTTAGAGCCAGATGTAGAAACTGCTCAAGAAACAAATGCAAGGGGTAACATGACACCTCAAAATGTACAAACCCAGTCTAATACTCCAAATCCTAGCATTTGGGAACAATCCAGGTAGATTTTAAAGAATTAAGAATACCTTAGATCTTTCGTTCTTCTTATTGAAATATTGATATAATTTATTTTTAAATTTATTTTTATTCAGTCATCCTGTAGCCTTAGCATTTCATTTATTATTCCGTACAGGAGCTTTAATTGTATACTTATTTGGTTCCCTTTTTTCTGATAATTTTCCTTTAATTTTCATCATTTGTGTCCTATTATTATCATTTGATTTTTGGACTGTTAAAAATGTGACTGGTAGATTACTAGTAGGATTAAGGTGGTGGAATGATATTCAACAAGATGGAACAAATGTTTGGATGTTTGAAAGTAGAGATGTATGTGTTTTCTCTCTCTCTCTCTTTCTCTTTTTTTTTTTTTGATTTAAATACTTTGAAAGGTTAATTTTTTAAACTTAATTAACTCCCCCCTCCCCCCTTAGCCTTCAAGACCTGTGAATCCTGTTGATTCACGTATATTTTGGATTTCACTTTACGTTACAATAGTTTTATGGTTAATTTTAGCTTTCTTTAATTTATTCAGTCCAGAATGGCTTTTAATTATAATCGTTGCCATAGCCTTAAACGCTGCCAATGTTATTGGTTACACTCAGTGTGATAAAGATGCAAAGAAAAAATGGGCGACAGGTTTTGCGGCTAGAGCGGCTACATCAAGTCCAAGTATGGTTGGAAGATTGTTTTCAGCTGGAATTGGTAGATTTTTTTAAATAGTAACAGTTAAAAAAATATATATATATATTTATAATAATTTTTTTTTTTTTTTTTTTTTTATAAAAAAAAAACATTAAAAAAAAACAAAAAAATTAAAAAAATTATTTTCAATCGAGAATAGATATTTTAGATGGTATATATATATAATAATAATAATAATATAATTATTGTAAAATTTTTTAAAATTAGATCACTTTATTTTATTTTATCGATTTACTTATAAAAAATTATATGATCCTTTGTGCACATAAAGTTTGAAATTAAAAAAGTTTTTTTTTTTTTATTTACTAAAAAAGTGTCATACTGATGATTCATACCTTGATCATCATACAATGTAAAAATAAGTTAACCGATTGATCTATAATATTATGAATTAAAAGAGAGATTAAGCATTTACTTACCACTGTACCAGAAGAAGAAGCGATACGTGGCCAAAGGTCAGCACATTCTTTTCCTACTGGGCCAGTAATAGCAGAGCCTTTCATTTCCCCCTTGGGGTTCACAATCACCCCGGCATTATCTAAAGAATTATGTTATGATTCATTGATCCTAAAAGTATGATATGAATAAAGGAGAAAAAAAAATTAGGGAAGGGAATATACCTTCAAAGTAAAGGAAAACGCCATCTCTTCTACGCCACGGTTTTCTTTGACGAATCACTACAGCGGGCATAACTAAAAAAAAAAGAAAAAGTTTTACGAATCAAAATGAGGAAATTTAATCAGAAAGAAAAAAAAAAAATTTTTTGATTCATAAGATTTTCAAAAAAAAAAAATTAATATAATCAATCGAATCATACCTTTTTTCCTTAAATCCGGTTTGCCTTTCTTAACAGTGGCCATAACCATGTCACCGACACCAGCTGCAGGTAATCTATTCAATCGACCATGGATTCCTTTGACAGAGATAACATACAAATTTTTGGCTCCGGAATTATCAGCACAGTTCATGACCGCGCCAACCGGAAGACCCAAGGTCATTCGAAACTTGTTACCAGAAGCTAAAAAAAAAAAAAAAATCGATGAAAATTAATGATCTAAATATTATATATAAAAGAATCAAGGAAAACAAAAAATTTGTTTAAAATATTTACCACCGCCGCGTCCTTAATGGTGAAGAAAGATAATCGATTTTAATAATTGTAATAATAATAAAATGAACTGGTAAATAAAAAAAAAACACACAACAAAAGATCTTGAAGCAAGAACAGCCCCAAAATGGTTTATAACAACACTCTTTTATAATAATCAATTCTTCGCAAACATTCTCTTAAACAAGTGAAGATATAACTACCTCTTTTGGACATTTTTAACTTATTAAAGTGGTGTTAGTAGGTGAAGAGGAAGTTCATCCAACCACCAAAAAATCTTTTTTCTTATACTACGTAGATATCACGTGATAGATAAAAAAAAGTCATATCTCAAATTTCGATTGGTTTCTTTTTTTTTTTTTTTTCGAATTTGAAGTTTACCATTTCAGTAGTCTTTAAAATAAAAACTAATAACTATACTAAGTTACTGGTTTTGAAACACTATAAAACTCGCGCGATCCGCAAGTTTTCTATAGCTTATACCTCTAATCGCTCTTTGATTAAACGGGCTAATTGAAAGAAACGCGCCCAGTTTTTTTTTTTTTTTTTCTTTTTTTTAGAATGTTGACGGTAAATACGATATATTTTCATTTAAAATCAATGTAATTTTATAGTTGAAAATTTAACCCGAACTTGCATTTGCCAAAGAAGCCACCGCTTCCGTCATTTCGAAGGATGGGAGTACCACGTGTAATACCACGTAGACTTCACCTGCCATTCTTTATCCTCCGAGGTTCTAGCTTAGTACCCGCCAGCTATGGCGTTTTTTCATGTATCTTATCTGCGAGTTATGTTAACAAACGTGATGCAAGCAACATTTTAGAGTTGAGAAGCACCGAGTTGGACTATTGGTTAGGTGCCATGTGGGTAAGTAATTTAATACTTCTCGTTCAAAGTATTTTATACAAACAAAACCTGATAATCCATTCTTTGAGAATTACATGTATCAGCTTTATTTCTAATAAAACAAGTTTTCGAATCTTTATTATTTTATTTTCAAATTTTGAGTTGATTATCCGGTGTATTTTAATGGGGGTGTAAGAGACTGTTCCAATTCTCATTTCAAATATCTGTACTCTGATTATTTCAAAGGGTTTAATTTCATATAATAAATCTTCTTAATTTTGAAATTTCGATTGTTTCTCGGTTATAATTGGATTTCAATCAGTCTGCCGTAAAATTTGTAAATTTAGTCTGTTAAAAGATGATGGGATGGTTTTGTGGTTTAAAACCCTATGACTATAACCAATTTGATATTCGGTTTTCATTTCATTCTTTTTTTTTTTCCTTCTTTTCTTTGTTACGTAAATACTTTTTAGTGCCTTTTAGCCGGTCTTTGGAGTTATTGGCTCGCAGATGGTCTCATGAATCGATGGCTCTTTTATTATGAAGTCGGCAGCACAATATTCCGTTTAATTTCTTTACAGGCTATTAATTGGGTTATTACAGCCTTCGTGGTAACACATTATGGTCCAGATGAGCCAATTTGGTCATGGATGTTTTGTAGCGTTGTTTTAGCCATATGCGATGTGATTCAGTGGCTTTTTACCTCAACCACGAAATTTCAGAAGGATGAAGATCCAGGAAAAATAAGACAATTAATTTGGAAGGAAATATATCGTTATATATTCATACCTCTTGCAATATTTACATTTATTACAATGATTTGTCTTCTTGAAGAACAATCAAGATTCCGTTATAATCCTATCGAGCATACAAAATCCTACAAATTAAATACTAATCTGTCCCTAAGTGAAATACGTCCAGATTCAAATGTCAAAGTAATAATGATCGTACTATCATCGTGGACTGAAAGTGGATACAGGAAAAGACAAACCTTTCGTGATACAAGTGTAAAATTAATTCCTCAAAGTTCAAAAAACATTTCAATAACCTATCGCTTCGTTCTAGGTGATGCCCCATCAGCAAAATTGCAATTGAGCATGGCTCATAAGCTCCTTGATGAATCAAAAAGGCATGGTGATCTCGTCATTGTACCCACATCGGATCATGATGATGACCTAAGCCACAAGGTCTATAAAGGATTTGAGTGGTCCAATCAATATTCCTTTGATTACATCGTGAAAACTGATGATGATATATTTGTACGTATGGATATCATAGCTCGTGAATTGGAAGAATCAGGACCCGATAAAAAATATTACTGGAGAGGCCTTGGATATTGGTATGTAATGTCTCATGTTCTAATGAATTGTTTATCGTTAACCAATTGATAATTATCTTTGAAATTATAAAAAAATTACAAAAATCAAATACCAAATACAAAAAAAAAAAATCAAAAAAAAAAATCAAAACAAAACATAACAAAAAAAAAAATAGGAATATTCCACCAATTCGTAATGCAGAAAATAAATACGCAGATTTTGATTATAAACTTCCTATATTTCCACCATTTACAGCTGGAGTACTTTATATCTTATCACGTGATATAATCTCCTTGATTGTAATTGATGCACCTCGCTTTTTCACAAGGAACGATGGTCAAAATCTAGGTATATGGCTTTTTCCTTATAATATTAGACCAATTCATGATCGACGTATTCAACAAGTTGATGCTTGTGAGGATGACTTGATCGCTAAACATTTTAGTGATCAATTTGAGGAAGATCAAAGTATGAAAGACATGTATGAGAACGTTATCAATCACAAAAGGATGTGTGAAGGATTTAGACAACGCTTTTGTGCGTCGTGCTATCCCTGTTGGGGAAGAGAAGATCATTGGAAGGATTCGAATTTTGATTGTGATGATACGAAAGGCATCACTTTGCTTAATCAAACACATTTAATCCTCGATAATTCGGTAGCCGTATTTGATGATCCCATCAATGTTACAATTGGAAGTATGGAAGATGAGTGGATTATTCCGAATCTCCTCTCACAACATTCTTCAGTTTATTCTCAAACAAATCTGTGGTATTTATTACATTGGGTGTGTTGGACGACGGACCAAGCGACTTTCCTAGAACGTCATTACAAGACCATAGAGCTCATTTGGATTCATACGCCTAAAGCTATAATTTTCGTCCTCACGACAACTTTACCACGAGATTTTTTTTCTGAATACCAAAAGCAAGGTTATCAAATCCACGTGATCAACTTCGACAAGGAATCGTTATTGGAACGACAATGGTTCCTTGGTCAGAATTCCAAAAACTGGCTACGTGATTGGAGTATGTGGGAAAATAATAAATTCTTCACCGATCATCTTACTGATTATATGCGATATTTGTTGTTGTATAAATATGGAGGCATGTTTATGGATATGGACGTTCTTTGGATACGTGCCCCTTCCGACACAAACATTGAATTCGTTGGATCGGATGTTTCAAATGTTCCTTCAGACATTGAATGGACGTTGGACGCGGACGGCACATACGTTGCACCTGGAGTTATGCGATTCCGAAAAGGCAGGTCCATGTTTAGAGAGATAATGGAACGATCTTTTTCTCCAACTTATTCACCGTCATGTTTTAATTGTGTTGGACATCGAGCAATAACAATGTACGTTAAAGAACATCGTAAAATTCTTGAGAGACATGGATTCACCATATTGCCTAGTCGGATCCTTTATCCAAGAAATGATGATCACGTTGACGAACTTTTCAGATCGGATCATACTGCTCAAGAAGGGCTTTTGAGAATCGAAAATTTTTCATGGAGCATAAAATTATTTGACAAAATGACGAATAATCAATTGATCGAAAATGATAGTTTAATTAGCTTAGTAATGAATAAATTTTCTTTAGACATTCCCCATTCATCAGCTCCATTAAAATCGGGTGGAGAACCGGATTTAAAGAATCGGGTATCATCATATCCATTTCTCTTGGAAGGACCAAAGAAATACCGGTTCGTATCTCCAACTATATCGCAAGGAGTGGATCAATATGCGGGATCTATAAATGGACAATTTCAAGGGCTAAATATTATTTTCATACGCGGTGGACCTGGTACAGTAGATCAGGCAACGATAAGAGTAAAGAGTTTGAATGGAAAGTGCTCTTTTAATTTACTAGGTGGGGAATGGAGCGAAACATCTGTGACAATTCATAATACAACAAAAAAAGACGTTAACGATATACTGAATGCTTTAGTATATCGTCCAAACGAAGTAGGTGGAAAGGATAACATTAGTTTAGAAATTGTATATGGAGAAGATAAAGCTGAATTAACGATTGATATTGAAATTCTCGTTTCGCAAGAATATAGATAGTATTTAATGAGGGTGGAAAAATAAATAGGTATATACAGTATATATTTCTTGTAAAAAAAAACCGTCGTTGAAAACCTTTTTTTTTTAAAAAAAAAAATATGTTGTTTGATGTTTGAGCATTACAAATAAAATAAATTTACATATAAAATAATAATTTATAAAATCCGAAACGCGTAAATTATAGGAATTTTCAGTTAAAATTTAAAATATCGGGATGATTTAATGTAAAAGTTCAAATTAAATCTAAAGTACATTTTTTATTGCTTCAAATATAGATACATCCATACTTAATAATAAGTACAATTTCCCCTTTTCTTTTTCTTTTTAAATAAAGAATTAAAGAAAATCCCATGAAATCGAGCAATTTATTTATTTTGAAGAACTTGCAGCTCCTTGAGTAATTTTGATTTGAATCACTTCAATTGTCACTAAAAAGTAATAACATTAAATTAAAAATAAATCATAAAATTGTTTGGATAAATGACGATCTAACATTATTTCCTACTTTTCAAATTATTCTGTTTAGATGTAATCGTTTGTTGCAAGGTTTCAGAATTATTCTTTACAAATTCAACTTTTTCTGCATAAAATTTTAAAGCGTCATCTAAACCCTTTATTAATATGGAAATTTAATAATTATCAAATAAATTAAATCAAAAATCCTTGAATATGGAAAGTAAACCTTTTCAATGTAATAGCCGGTTCCAACATCTACTATTACTTTATCAGTATCAACCAATTCTCCTGGTACATAAAGGTATTTATTTTGTTAAGAAACATTTTAAATATGAGAATATCTCCTTTTCAATTATATACGTAAAAAAAGGAAAGGATATTGATTGTGTTAATGGGACAAGAATGTCTTTTCCTGTATAATAAAAGGAAATCTGTTCAGAAAGTCAATTAATTGATAACAACATATAAATGATAAAATTTGAATAATTTACCCGATTTTCCTCCTTTTATAGTTTCTACGCTAGCTATACAATCCTGAAAACGTGTTTGAACTTGTTTCAGTTGTCCGAATGACGAAGTCAAATGTGATAATTCCTAATAAAAATGATTACTGTTTGAATTCTTTTATGCAAAGAAAGAAATAGGAGAAAGAATCATAATCATTTTACCTCCTCTAATTGTTTCTTAACTTCAGATAATTGTGTCAAGTCCAAATCGGTTAATTCAATGGTCTGTTGTTTAGGTGCAACTGAAGTCGTCATAGTATCTTCCTTTCTCGCTAAAGAAGAAGGTGTTGATGGTATTGTAAACTGAAATGGTCATTTCTTAGGTCTTAATTTCCCCATTTTTATATTTTTTTTTTGATGTGTAGTACAAAGATTTTTTCTGTTACATAATATGCGTGGTCCGGATGTCAAGTTTACACCGTGGTGACGTATATTTAAGATTTAACTTTTAACTTACAAGAATATCACGAAAAATGATTTGTTCGATCAAACAATCGTCATCAACAATCACAAAACATCAAAACACATTGTATATAGAAAGATTGGATCAAGGATTTGCAAAGAATTTTTATGTATTTTTCGCGATCTTTTGACAAATTCGAATTTAACATGATTGGGTCCGGAATTTCAATATCCGAAGAAGAAATAAAAGGCTAGATTAGCTACACATTATGTCGATCACTTCTCTAAATAACGTTAATAACTTTTGTGAACGACCATAAATAAAATCCGAATTTGGTGATTTATTTGATTGTTGCTCTTTTTTCTTTCTTTTCACATTTTTCTTTAGTAAATTAATTTTCTCTCTTACCGAAATTTAATTATGACAGAAAATTGTGAAGATGATCAAAGTCATGTGATGTGTGTGTGTAAGCAATCAATATCGAAACTAGATTGGCAGGTTAGAAACGGAAAAATCATATTATATTATATCAAAATGCATTTTAAAGTGATGAATTACTTTTTTTTTCAGGATCATCAAATTGTATGCGCAAAAAGAAGATATATGTGTCCCGCATTTGCTGCCTTTATTAACTGTAACCCTGATAAAGGTTTATTACCACCATTGGTTGATTCAAATTGTCCTCTTTCATTAAAAGAAATCGCAAAATTACAAGTATTGAAAAGGTATCAATGACAAATTAGAATTTTTTTTAACAAACATCGTTTCCCTTACCTTTTTTTTTTTTTTTTTTTTTTTTTACTATTTTAGCGAGAAATTCAGTCGAACGGAATGGTTGAAATCGAAAACCACTCCCTTTAAAATCATAAACACTTTAACAAGAGAATGTCCGATATTTGGAAGTAAACAAGAATTAATAAACCACATCGAGAAATCCTGTCCATATTGGAAAGTAAAATGCTTAGAGGTACCTAAAGCGCATTTTTGGAATTCTCATAGTGATTGTTCATTTGACATGGAATTTTCAATCCAAGAATTCATATCTCACTCCAAAGAGTCGGTAATTTACTTTGTTCATTTAAAAATATTTTGATTTCCTTCAAGTAAAAGATTTATTTTAAACTCACCTTTCACGGATTTAATTTAGGCACTTGATCCAATAAGTCAAAGAATTCGAGTAATTTCAAAGATATTTCCTTATTATTGTAAGAGATGTGATCACCACTTTCCATCTTCGGGTTCTCATATATGTATTAAAGAAACCAATTTTATGAATACACAAAATCAAGAGGTATTATGTCCAAGTTGTAAATCAATAATCTCTGTAAATTCCTCCAAAGAAATAGAAAATACATGTGTAAGTTGTAATAATAGGACAAAAGGATTTTATATGTTACATTATTAATTAAATGTTCTATATTTGGTAAAAAACTCGAGGACGTACAAAATGTACAAAAATATGGTAGTACTACTTTCTAATTTGATCTTTCAGGGTTATATTTAAGGATTTTTTGATTATCGAATTGTTTTTTGCCTGTATGTTGATTTCACAGAATTTATCAACTTAATTATTCGGTTTAACTTTTTTTTTCCCGCCAATATTATAAATAAAATAAAAAAGTATAATACAGCATCTCACCACTAATATATTGTACGATTATTTGATTTTTTAATTTTTTAATTTTAATTTAATATTTACACCTTAAATACCCTTAACATTTTTCTTTTTTTTTCAAATTTTTATTCATTTTTTATTTTTTTATTTTTACCTTCTTTTTTTTTTTTTAATTTATTTTATACGTTTTAAATAAATTAATAAATAATGTTAAAGTATGGTCTCAAATTTTTACAAGATAGAAAGAAAGAGGTAAGTTATCATAACAAAAGACGAGGAGGTGTACACCGTTACAAAGAACCTCTTTTTTTTTCTCACCTTCTTTGTTCACATTAGAGAAAACGTTCGAACCAAGAAGTCAAACCGGAGTTACCTGCTTTTGAGTGGCAAGTAACCAGTGATACAAGTTTTGAAGATTGTTTGCCTTCAACTTCCTCCACAACTACGACAATTAATCCTTCCAACGATGAAATGTCCTGCAGTTCAGATGTAAATTGTAAATCTTTGGTTAGATCATCAACGAATGTTGAATCTGGTAGAATAAGATTAATACAAATAATTGGTGATGAAGAAGCGAGAACAAAATTTCGAAATTATTTAGTTTCACAATATTGTGAAGAAAATTTAGATTTTTACATGGATATTGTAAAATTTCACTCTCATTTTAATAGTGAAGGTTCTTTAAACCTTCCTGAAATCATTTCATATGCCAATTATATATGGAATGAATATTTGGATCCTGAAACTTCCACAAAACCTTTAAATGTCCCTCAAGACCTTTTAAATAATTGTAAACAAAAAATTTTAAAGTTGTTTACCATCGATTTATTTGATAAACTTCAACAACATTGCTTTGATTTAATGTTACAAGATTCGTTACCGAAATTTACGCGTAATTCAATGGCCTTTTCTTCATCAGATTTACTACTTCCTCCTTCTCCTTCTTCTCCTACTTTTCTTCGTCCTCCTAATTTTGTTGGTGGTAACCTTAAACAACCTCCTTCTTTAAGGAAATCTATTTCCTCCGGCTCACTTCGTTCTAAATTGATCGCTTCAATGAAAACTGTTGCTGAACTACCACATACATCTAGTCCATTTGATATTTGTCACGTCACTCCTGTCACGCCCAACTCACCCAATTCTCCTACCTACGCCTCCACCTCCCCCACTTCTCCTACCTCCACCTCTCCCACTTCTCCCACCTCCACCTCTACCTCTCGCACCTCACCTACCTCCACATCTCCCACCTCGCCTACATCACCTACCTCCACGTCACCCACGTCACCTACCTCCACATCTCTCACAACTCCCATAACTTCTACACCTCCTCTTTCGCCACAACAATCGATTGTATTAACCCGTACTACATCGACCATATCCACTTCGACAACATCATCATTTACTTCTACGTCAACCACATCATCAATTCCAACAACTTCTACAACAGTTTCTACTCCATCGAGAACTGCAAGCGTTTCTAGTAACTCGGACGTTATTTCAACATCTGCGGATAGCAGTAATAGTAGTTCAACAGTTTCAACGGTATCACCTACGACGGTAGTGAATGTTCAACAAAAGATGTCAATGGCATCAATTGTGTCTATAACAAGCATTACAAAAAAAATGTTATCACGTCGACGTCGTAATTCAACGAGTTCAAATTCTAGCAAATTTTCTGTGACAACTCTTTCATCAGTTTTTTATTTGAGCAGTATGGAGAAATTCATGGGCATGCCAGGTACATACCCTTGTACTTCGGTACCCAATAATACCACATTAAATGAAACTGATGAAAGCGATGATTTGCCTTCATCTTCTAACCTTAGTAATGATGTAAGCACCTGGCAAAAACTTCGAAAAAATATTTCTACTCCTAATTTATCTCGTTCAATTTTGAGATCAAATACATTTAAAAGTTCCAACTTTTTTCATACTTGAAGAATAATATTTATAAAATTTTCGGTGAATTCAAAAAAAAAAAAAAACCAAACCAAAACAAATCAAAACAAAAAATTACCATCAAATCCACTCATCAATCCCACTCTTTAACTATTCAATTTATTCATTTGTAACCTCACTCTTATTATACATGCACATACATTGATTTTCTTCAACCCTATTTATTTATAAACATCACTTGTGGCTTTTCTTTTTTAGAGTTCTTAATGTATATTTTGTTATTTATTCAATTCCTTCACAATTATTCAAAATAAATTTTATTTTCTGAAACTTTTTCGCTTTGTTTTACGCGATTTATTGACGCGATTATGTATAATTAACGTCACGTATTCAGCTGCGGATCATGTCTCAAATTCATTTAAACTTTCTGATGATACGCATTGATCAACTAACCTTATTTCATGAAATTAAAAATAAAACAGTTATTTATTGTATGACTCTCAGGTCATTATATTAAAATAGAAATTTCATTTTATTATGTGTAATGTTTTGATTATAAAAGTATGTAAAGAAAAGTTATCATTTAATAATAAATTTGTCTGCATATCGTTATTGACTGAAAAAAGAAACGTTTATCATTGGTCAAACAAAATATTTGATTAAAAAGCATGATTCCAATTAAAAAAAAGTGTGCTAATGTCGCGTCATTTTACAACAGTTAAAATAAAATGGTACAACAAATACATTCCGTTATAGTAAAAAAGACATTACCCCGTGACGTTTATTTATTACACGTACTAATTCCTATAATAATATCGATGTTCAATAACATACAATTATCGCACAACAGGATCATCAATAACTAATCAGCGTGTGAATAAAAGTTTATCTGCATGAAAACTTTTAAATGTTTGCAATATTAATTTTTAAATTAACTCGTTTGTGAAACTCTCACTATTTATAAATTATCATTTTTAATAGAATTAATTTCTTTCGAATCATTTGTTAAAGCTAAATTAAAAATTTTATTAAGATGTAAATAAATCAAAAATTTTTAACCTTCTTTAGCTGTGGAAAATCCTTTGTTCTTTTTTGTATTATAATTGTTATCAATATCGAATATGTTAATATCTGTTTCTTCAATACAAAAAATTTGTATCAATAAGTTTTATAAAACAAAAAAAAAAAATTCCGAAAATTTGGTCTATTACATATCTTGTTTTCTTTTTTTTATGTTAAGTTACTAATTCATTGAATCCCTTTAAATTCTAAATTTTGAAATCCTTGTAAAAGTAATTTACATTCAGTATAATTTGCAATCTTTCAGTTAATACAATCAATATCATACATTTTGCATATTTTATTTATAAAGTATTTTTTTTAACCAATTTTGACTGATATAAATTTTCTTATACCAGTATAAATCTAATATAATATAAATTAATTGTTAGTAAATAAATAAAAATAATTAAATAATTCTATAAAATAAATAAAATACATTAAATTTATTCGTTATATTCTTAAAGGTAAAAATATTTTAATTATTTAGTAAAATATATTTATTAGCTTTATTTTAATTTCTAATTTCTATTTGTTAACTTTAAAGTTCCGAACCGCAGACCGGTAAAATCCGAACCGAACCGGATTTTCGGATTAATCCGAAATTACGGTTCGATTATATGCGAATCTCGAAGAGAATACGCAATTTATATGCGAAACTCTTTGGAGAATCGCAAAAGATCGCGAATTTCTCTTCGAAGTTCGCAAAAAATTTGCGATTCCTAAGAGTTTCGCTATATTTTTGCGAACCTCTTAGAGATTTCGCAAATTTATTGCGATCCTCCAAGAATTTCGCATATAATCGAACCGAACTTTCGGATTGATTTTTATGCAATCCGATCCGATCCGATCCGAAAAATCTTCGGATTAATTAGGAGCTTTAGTTAATTTATCATAATCATAATATAGTTCCATTCATCTAATAATATTTAAATTTTTAATTTTCTTCTTTTTCATCATATTCTAAGTTTGTTAAAATATTTAATTTTTCTAATATTTATTATCATATAAATTGCAATTTAATATAACAGAATGCTAATTTAAATAATAATAAATTGTTAAAATAACTATTTTTATTAAATAAATAAAATATTTATTCTTATTAAATATTATGCTAATTGAGAATCTAAGATTCTTATTTTTTTTATAATTATATTTAACATAAAATATTTTCATAACATAATATAATTATTAATAATAAAAAGTTATTTATCTAAACCTTTAAGTTTGCTAATTTTTATTAAAGTTTTAATATAATTTCATAATTTTACCTTTTCTTGAATTTTATAAATTTTAATATAATTTTGCTAAATTTTATTTTATATTTAAATAATCTGTAAAACTCTAGATTTTATTCAATAATCTTAATAAAATATTTTGTATTTTTAATATCTATAATATTATTATAAAAGAAATAAAATTATTACATAAATCTTATTTTAAAAATTATAAAATTTATTATATTATTATATAAATTATAAATTATAAATTATTTTTTAAAATTTTATTATTTATATAATAAAACAAAGAAAATTATGATAAAAAAAAGAAATGACTTATTTTTATAAAATATAATTTGTAATAATTATATGATAATATAAATATTATATAATAATTATTTACATTAATTAACATTACTTTATTCCTTCAAGTATATTACAGACAAATTTACCTGTAATTTTATTTAATAATATTTTTAAAATAATTTATTTTAAAAATTAATATTTTTATAATAAACTTTATAATATTTTCTAAATAAATATTCAAAAAAATGTAATTTTTAGTGATATTTTAAAGATAAATATATGATAAATTATTATAAAAAATTAAATTTTTAAACTTATATATCTTGCTATTTATTGATTTCAAAAATGCAAAAATATAATTATTTAATAGGTCTTAATGAAATAAATCCAATAAACTAAATTTTATTTTTTTGTAATTATTAGATAATAAATTATTTTGAAAAATTAAAAAATTAAAAATTGATATATATTAATAAATACTAATTTTAAAATTTTAAAATACTATTATTAGATACATCTTAATATGACAAATCTAATAAATTTTATTTCATCTTTTTATGATCACTAAATATTAAAATATTATAATTTTTCTATATATTTTATAATCAATTTATACCTATAATTTAAGGGATATTTGATATATTCATATTTATTTTAAATAGATTGTTTACATAAGTACACATTATATTATTTATATATTTATATATTGTTTATATAATTATAAATAGTCTTATATATCATAAATCTATATAAATAATATTTTAAAAATGAATAAAAGATGAGAAAATAAGTTTTTTTTAAAAAATTAATTTTATCATTATAATTTTTATATCAAATAATTGGATTTGTATCATAAACTTAGAAATTTTAATAATTTTTTTTTAAGATGCTAATTTTTTAATATTATTAATAAAATCATAATTAGAATTTTAGCAAATTAGATTAAATTTTTAAAAATAATAATTGATTTTAAATAAATTAAATCAATTTTAATCAGTTATAAATTCTAAGAATTCTATAATATTAATATATATAAATTTATAGAAAAAATATAAAATATTATTTTATATATTTTATATTTATACTAATCAAATATTAAATATTAATACATTTATTAATATTTGATTATTTAATTAAAATTTAGCTATTTAATCACTTTAATCATTAATCATAATTAAATAGCTAAAATATTTTTAATTATGATTAAATATTAATACTATTTTAGGAGATATTATCAACTTTTATATAAAATTTTAAAAAGAATGACTATCATATTCATATTATTAAATTTACCTAAGAATTGAACTTGATCTTTAATTCTAGTTACAGATAGATTACCTTAATACTGCAGTCTATAATGTAATTTATTATTTTTAGTAATTCTATTAAATTAATCTGATCTACTAAAAATTAATTAATTATTTGTTTATTTATATAAAAATCCTTGATTTAAAGAAGTGAGATAATATCTATTATAAACTTATTAGTTAAACTAAATGAACAAGAATTATGAAAGAACAAAATACTAAAATCATAAAAAAAAACCTAATATAATAAAATCTCTAAAATAAAAAAAAAGAAAAAGAAGACAATCTATAAATATGCATTAAGATTATACAAAAACTCAAATAAAAGAAACTAAAAAAATAAGAATATAAATAATATAATAATATTATTATAATAATATATAATTTTTAGAAATAAGAATATGAAATAATAGAAAGTAAAAGAAATAAAAATATAAAAAAATAAAAGAATTAGGAATAAGAATATAAATATTAAAGAAAAATTAGAAATTTATTAAAAATTCAAAAATAGATATAATATAATAATATGAAAATATCAAAAAAAAAATTAAAAATTAAAAATAAAAATTAGAAATAAGAATAAAAATATTGATAAAAAATTAAGAATTAAAAAATAATCTATAAAATTGATAATATTTCTATAATTTCTTCTTAATTTGTATTTTATTTTATAAATTATTTTTATTATAATAAAGATTTTACAAAACTATCATATTTTAAAAAAAAATCTTGTAAAAAATAAATATTTATAATTATGATAATAAAAACCTATATAATATTATTAAATTACATAATAAAATATTAGATAATTATTATTATTATTTCTTTATTTATATATTGATCTTAATAATATCAGTATTAATAATCTCTTTGTTATATTAAATTCAATAAATAATATTTAAAAAATCTCTTTATTATAATAATATTTATGATATTTGTTAAATTATAAAATTTTTATTCTTATTTAAAATTAAAAAAAAATAAAACATAATTATTTTAATATTAAAAATATAGATATAAAACATAATAAATTATATTTACTATTAATTTTATTTCTATTTTTATATCTAAAAAAAGTATATACAGTCACACCTCGATATAACGAAGTTGCTGATCCAGCCGATCAGGACTTCGTTATAAGAATCTT